TTTTATATACCCTGACAGTTTGTGAAAAAAGATCATTTAGGAGTAATTGTGATCTATTTCGATTTATTGAATAAAAAGATTTCATTAGATATTATGTAAAGGAATATAATTGCTTTCATTTACATAGATTGGGATGATTTTTTATTTTTTATTAAAAAGCAACATTTGTTGGTGGTTGGAAGCCGAAAGATGGAGTAAAATTATATTGTCCATATTTGCAGACCTTAAAATTGTCAGCACAATTTAAATCTGTACATTTTAATGTTGAGATGATTTTGGTCCATTTTCTTTTAAAGGAGTCATTCTCCATTGATAATTTTATTGACCATACATGCAAATCCCTAGGCACCATTCAAATATTAGTCCTGTTTGTACTTACATGTATTTAGTTTTAGTTTGGGCTAGGTTTCAATAACAACCAATTTCTAGTTAATTTTTGCATGGATATGGCATCTTCTTAAAATTCTTCTGTCGGTACCTACACTTGAGTACAAAATTACCAAAATATCTTTAGAATAGAAGAGATTATTATATATGACAGTTGTTTGATTAATTATTAATAGCTAAGGAGGACAGTTCATGATGCAACTTTTTAAAGAAAATTCCTAGATGTATGCTGTTAATGGGTGTCTTATGGATACAACACTTCAACAAAAGTTTGTTAACTATCATATTCCTGAAGCAAGGGTCCGAGAAATCCCTCTCTAGCCATTGCTGGATTGGCTTCTAATACTTGAGCTTTTGAGAGAGTGTGTCTATTCTTCCCATTAGTCAAATCTATCAGAAGTACAGCAACATGACAGCCCTTCATTTAATCGGGGGTCTTCCCTAAAATTTTGGACAGTGATTTAATATATTAAAAATGGTGAACATGTTGTTCGTCTCCACGTGTTTGTTCATATTGATCATTACCCATTGTTTACATTGTATGCGTTTTCGATAGCCTCGTTTGTCACACAATTAGTTTTTCTGCAATATTCTGCTATGCACTGGTTAGTGGAGCATAATACATTTCTCGGGTAATGACGTAACGTAGTGTAAACATATGTGGAGCTCTGTTTAAAACCCGAATGATTTTGTTACGCTGTAATGTATTGGTTGTTTATCCGACTGTTGACCAGTCATATTTTGGAACATAAATTTGCGGTTATTAAAACAGTGTCCGAGTTTAATAGGTCTATAATCAAGCGAAACACTGCGAGGAGTTTGGTTAACTATGTACACTTCACAAATCAAAAGTAGAATCAGGTGTTTTAGAAAAAGTAAGCATACCCTGCTTTTCGCACAAGACATGTCATAAACAATGGTTATATTATCATTATTTGCATATATCAGTATCATAACACGTATCGTCTTCAATAGAAGGCTTGATCTTACTTACTCCGTGCATCTTATCAAAGCCTTCACATAATACCCTGCATATTTCGGCAAAGTTCAAAGTTTGTTCAATGTCAAGGTTTCCGTGGAGATCGCTATAGTTTATTTGATTGTCTTTCAGTCACAACTTCTGATTGGACGCTACTGTTCACGTGTCTGTCTTTCAGTCACAACTTCTGATTGGACGCTACTGTTCACGTGTCTGTAGTAAAGAGAGAAAACATAGCTATAAGCTTGGGAATTGCAAAGTAATCTAGCAACGTCTAAAACTCACAGTCGTTGCTTCAGGAACATGAACACATATACATGTTTATTATTTTACTAATAAGGAAATTTGAAATGGGGTTTAACATCGTACATGCTTTGAAGTGAGGAAACTTATTACATTGTTGCCCTTTAGCATTATTTTACATGATAAATTTTATCGCAAATATTCGCAATAAACCATTCCTCACAATATAGCAACTGGGTGTGTTAGACAAATCTATTGACTTTGCAAAAGCATGTATTGATAAGGCTGCTTTAATGTAAGTAAACGCTTGCAGGATTCTATGATTAAGTTTAATTAGAGATGGTAAAAATCCTTTTGATGTCAGGAAATACAAGGTTATTTCTATAGTTTGATATTACTATAGCAACGTTTCTTTATAATAGCCTTAATGGGGACCATGTATGAATGTATAGGTCTACTAATTTCCTATATCGGTATATTGAATTTAATTCTATATATTTATTGTTGTCAACAGCATAGGCTAAATCAATTTACTGTATTGTTTCATCAGCTACTTTATAGTTTGGAATCTTGATTACACTCTTAAAAGATTCATTATTTATCAAAACTGGGGGGATGGGTGTAATCAAGTGGTCTATAACATGTGCGATTCCGTAAAAGTTTAAAGTTAAACCCCATTTCATTTTATTTCATCTTATTTCATGTTTTATAAACTATCAATTAGACATTTATTAACAAAACAAGACCATTATCAACTCTCGATGACATCGAATACTTGAGATTTTAACTAGCTTAGAACTGTTTGCCATTTAAAAATTTAACTTAAAAATGGGAAAGCAAGGCTTAGTCTCAAATATACCAAGGTCCTGGTTACCACTATGCACACATCTTGTCAAAACTACAAACAGTGATAACTTGGCTCAGAATGAAGTAATTTGAATGAAATTTTCAATATTTTCATTTTACATTATCTATCTTTGAGCTATTATAGCAAGAATGGTCAGTCAGCTCTTTATCTAAATTTTACATACTGTATCTTTAATCCCCCGCTCTATGAGCTCTATGGATTTGTTAATCTGTCATTCAATTTTCTATTAAGGGGCATAAACCTCTACATTATCCACAGTATTCAACATTACAAACACAAATTTTTGGTTCATTACAATTATATTGATGTTAATCTTAACATGGGCACCTGATATCTAATATCTAAGACACAATGAACAATTTTAAAATCAGTCGACAACTGCATGTACTCTATGCTCTTGAGCACCATTTATGAAACCGTACACCTGATGTAGACTGGATTAACTGGATGTGAGTAACTGCCATTCAATTTGGGCTGCTCACATATTTTGACTAGCATAACTAATTAGAAATTTCAATAAAAAAAATTGATTTAAATCTGTTTAAATGCATTCAAATTACATTAATGTGCATCTTTTGACCCAATTCCCACTATCTTCATTAGCCCTGTGGGTGCCAAAAGTAGGACATTGAACCTCATTTCATTGTCCCATTTTTGTCAATTTTAGGATTCAAAGAAAATGGATTTAGCTTCTTTAAAAAAACCAATGGAAGTAATAAATTCATTGATATTTTTCATTGAAACATTGCATGGTGAACATGGTGTATTGGAAGGTGTTGAACTGTAAATAGATCCAAGTTTAAGTTTAAAACCTTTATTTATTTTAGACTTAGTTCAGAAGGTGTATACCGACTAAATGTACATGAACCAAGCTTTAAGAGGTCATTTAACTATCTTTATAATGGTTGTAAATTGTATTTGTATTAAGGAGAGTATAGTGACACTAGTGACTACATATATTTAAAATGACAGTAATGAGAAATGATAATGTTTCTGTATGAACCTATATTGTGTCCTCTGGTGTAGAAAAGTAGGATGTTAAACTCCATTTCATTCAATCAAGCCTTCTGTGTGTTCAGCTTCTTGTAATCACTATACAGGTCAGATAGAGTTTGAGATTTTATTTTCAAACATGATTTGGTTATTCATCTACTTACACTACCAGGTACTAAAAAAGATGAGCTTTAATGAAATCGTACACCAGTTGCATGAATTATTGCCCCTGTCATTGACATCTTGTGATTGCTTTTTTGTAATGATTTCTGTTTTATGTGTTCGTGATTTGGAGTAATTGTATAGCCGAATATGATACAGTCTCACCTAATATAATATAAAGTCTCACCCAATATGGTAATATCTCACAAAAAACCCAATATGATTAAATTACTTATTATGCACTATGTATCCCTTTATGTTGCGTAAGTTTATAATAAGTGTATAAATCTTGTTTCTATATTAAGCTGTATTATTGTCTTATTAGTCTAGAGATAGACAAGTATAAGAATTATAAAGATAAGTAAATTTGAAAGATATATTATAGCTGCCTATTTGTAATCTATTTAGAGAATAATCCTTTGTTTTATGGCTGACTATATAACACTGTTTTTGTGTTCAACATGACATCTATGACACCTGCGCTATAAACTATATTCATTCAATCCATTGAAAGTACTGTCTTCATTTCTTAAAATAAAATTATTTTATATTCACATATATAATTGTCTGGATTAAATGTCATTCATATTGCAATTTAATGTCAAAACCAGATTCAAAATCTGCTCCTATTACCTATAGGCCAACTACAGTACAGTGCCTGATCCATCGACAAGGAAAGTTACTATTGAAAATGTTAATGTCAAGCCCCTTTAGATCTTTGTTTAGTTTTGTATTCCTAAAAACATTCTTCAGACAAAAACCTGGTTTGTGTCAGATAAGAAAGATAGCTGTAAATATCAAAAGAAGAGTTATTTTTTTTTAGCTTGGTGAACACACATACACAGTATAATGTAAATGTAATAACCTGTGGCATTCTATTACAAATGAACTTTATAAGAATCAGGTACCCTATAGAATAGAAGTTTATGAAGGGGGAACATAATGACCTGGATGCTATTTCCCTACAGTTTGGTTTAATATGACCGATAAGAGCTCTGCCTGACATTCATTTTCGCAACTTCTATTTAAATGAACATACATTGGTTCATTGATCTTAATCTCTTTTGCACCCAGTGGATAATAAAGTTTTGGTTTTCTAATTTCTTGTATATACCTTTTTTATCCATTGGATAAAAATGTTTTGATTTTCTTGCACAAGAACATTTCTTTTTCATCCATTGGTCTGATTTTCTTGTACAAGAACATTTCTTTTTCATCCATAGGATACAGTAAATATGTTTTGATTTTCTTGTACAGGAATATCTCTACATGTATTTCATCTATTTGATTTTTGTGTACAAGAACATGTCTTTTTTTTATCCATTTGCTAATAATGTTTTGATTTGTAATGTATCTTTTTGTTTACAGATGAACCAGTGATTCTGAACTTACAGATGTGGAATGGCAGTGCACCTAAGTATGAAAGAAAGATATCCGAATGCTCAAAAGAATTCACTATGATCGCTACCCAGAACTCTCACTCTCCAGCAGAACTAGATGAGAGTGCTAACAGAAATCACCAGACTAATCAACAAAATCGGTTACTGGGACTTAAAAATGGAAAGGTCGGACCTCTTAATATTGAGCCCCGTTCCCCAACTGATAATGGTCATAGCCGCAAATCGGCATGGGAACGTGCACAAGAAGAGTATGAGGCAAAACAAAAACAATCGAAAGAAACAAGAGTTGAACCTTTTATTCTGGAAGATGATAGCTTGGGTGATGTGTCATGCTTTAACAAAAAAACGCTTAAGAGAGTATTTAAATCAAAAAAATTCAAAGATCCAAAACTGGAACATCTGTACCAGAAATATTTCTTTAAATTGAATCAAAACAGTATGACTATAGTAATGGGGATATTTTGTGTAATTTGTATTGTACTTATCGTCTTTTATTATGTTGGGGGAGCTACCTTACCTGCTAGGGGGATTGTTTTGACTGTTGTTATTGTTCTGTTCATTGTTCTAGAAGTCTTGTGCAATAGAAAATCCTTAAATGAACCTCAGTTGTTTATTTTGTGCTATATTGTGATATTTGTGTTATGTGGTATTGTAATTTTAATAACTTTAGATACTGATATACATGACGCATCCGAGGGGGTTTGGTGTACAATATTTTTTACTTATATGATTTACGCGTTTGTGCCTATACGTATGAGACTCTCTGTAATGAGTGGAATATTTTTATGTGCTATTCACCTGGTGTGTTCGGCATCTGTTAACTATGGTAAAACAGATCTGTGGAAACAGGTACGTAACTTAATTTTTAATGTGATTGTGTATTGCTATCCATCGTTATCCATCTTGTTAGCAAATGTATGGCTACAATGTAATAGTTTTTGAATTTGATAAGGGTTGTCTAACTCATTGAAAGGAAGAATCCTATTGATTTTCAACATTTTACAATAATCACCTCCAGAGTTATGTATCTTTGTTATACATGTAAAAGTCTTTTGATATCCCTTTTACAAACACCTGAAATTTATATTTATTGTCTATATATATACTTTTTACGAACACCATTTATCAACCTGAAATTTATATTTGTTGTCTATATCCTTTTGAAAGAAAGAAAGAATCCTATTAATTTTCAACAAATTTTGATGATCACTTCCATAGTTACAATCTGATTAAAACACAGATCCTATTTTGTTTTGTTTTTTATAAGTTCAAAATTTCATTTTACTTGTCTTCTCTACACTAGGATCTGGAAGAGTTGTTATATAAGCCGTGTTCTGGTTAATGTGAGGGATTAGTCAATGAAGCGTTCTGTTATGGCCAGTTCTTGGCGTACTGTGCACAGAACTGTGGGTAAACAACTAGAAACGTCCGTGCTGGTTGATTAATCAATGTCTGACATCATAGGGTCAAAAGCCGTTCGTATGACCTCTGACGTGACCTCCCATTACAACCGGTCAGATCTTCATGTAGTGTAGGCCATCGAAAGTATAAAAAAATGAAACGCAATATAGATCTGTATTTTAATCAGATTGCCATAGTTAGACCCCTTTGTTACAAAATCTTTCTGACTCTTAAGCTTGGCGCAGACGGTCAACTTTTCGTCGCTTGTTGCTGCAATAGGCAACTACTGGCAACTCCGAGCAATTGGCAACTCGAGGTCTCCCGTGTGTGCTGACTGGCAACGAGAAGCTTACATCATACAATACTGGCCACTCAGCCCACATTTCCACCAACATGTCTTCCATCTCCACGGACCATGTTAATGTTGTTAGCTGTTCCATCTTGAAGTATCACATGACAGTAGAGCGCTCGCTGATTGGACAGTTAACCAGTTGCTTGTTGCCTGTTGTCGCCTACCGCCGCAGACGAGCAATTTTGAAGCAACAGATGAACAATTTCTCGGCGACGAGCGATTTTCTGTTGTTGAATATCAAACATGTTTGATATTTGGCAACGAGAAGCAACTCGGAGCAACAGCAGACAACTGTTGTTGCCCGTTGGCGCAGACGAGCGATTTTTTCTTTCAACGACCAGCGATTTCACTGTTGCCTGAAAGTTGCTCGAAAAAGTTGCCCGTCTGCGCCTGGCTTTAATAAGTTCTACTGTTGTCACCAGTTGATACATGTATGATGTCCGACTACTATGTCTTGACTTTTGAATTTGATACATAGACATTAAGTGGGATGGGATTGGTATCAAAATTTTACCTACAGGATATATAAATGTGTTGACTTTTGAATATTTGATGCATAGAAATTAAGTGGGGTGGGATTGGTATGAAAATTTACCTACAGGATATAAATGTGTTAAAGAAGTAAAGCAGATGTAGATATTTTATAAATTAGCTATAGGCTAATTAACTTTCATATACTCATTAAAAAACCCACACATGCATTCAGCTATTTCTAGTTAATATCCCTAATCAATTTTTCTCATCTGATGTCCAATTTAGCTACCATCTACAAAAGGTCATTTCACAGCACATTGATTATATACCTTGTTTGTTATGAAATTTCTACTGTAAATAGGGGAGAGTGGGGACGAACGGGCATATGGGACCGATGGGCCACCCCCTTGTATCAGACATGGCAAAATCGAATTCTGTAGGCCTTTATTATGTAACCTTGACCTAGCCTAGAATACATTGTTGATTTGCAAAGAGTGCTATCAACACATTGCCTTACAGCCTCAAAAGTACATTTAACCTTAGTAAAAGTATTTTTTTCATATTTTGCAATATTTTTCATGTCCCAAAGTAATTAAGTGTTATCAAGATGTGCTTGCACCAACTCATATGCCTAGTAGTTATCTAGGCTTGGCACTTAAAATCAAATGCCACAGTGACTGACTCTACAGTTAATAAAGCTAAATATATATATTCAAATGCTGAGGGCACCGATGAATCACCCGTAGTTCGGTTCCTATTGGCATGGCCCATGGGTCCCCAGAGGAATGGTCCATAGGCCCTGGACATATTTTTACGAAAATTGTGCATATAATCTAAAGTTTTATAATGGCAAGAAATAGAAAAAGAACAACAGCCAGGGGAATGTTTGATGCCAAAACAATGCGATAGGCTGTGTAATTTTTATGAACAAATCTGTACATAGTACCCACAATGTTGGACAGGCAACCCTACTTGTCACGTATAAGTGGGGAATAGAAACATGGTACTTGACTCCATGACAGATCTTATTGATCAAATGCGCATGTTTTAACCATTTGCACATCTCTTCCCCATAGCCATCCTACCCCTGACAATGTTGGTATTATAAAAAATGGTGATATAAGTGGTGGCTTTGAAGTAAATATTTTATAAGAGTCAAAAAGCACACCTGTGCATTCATTGAGACAAGACATTAGTTGAAGAATACTGACACTGTAACATGCTCAAATATAGTAGCCATTCTTCCAGAACCAATAAAAATAAATACCACGAAAAGACCACAAGGAATTATTCGCTTTGATGTTTCCATTGCTTACTATGATATTGAATAGGACGGTTATTATGATCTCCCTTCAACAAAAAGGCGCCAAAATTATATTTTTAAATTATTCTTTAATTGATCCCTCCCCATCAGACCCCTGAGTGATGACAGAAAAATAGGTATAATTCCACAATTCTTTAAGGTATAATATTGAAACTATGTATGTTTATAGGTTAGTATCTGATGAATGAAGTAGCAAAGATTAGTTATCCTGGTTGATTTGTAACTAATATTATCTGTAAAATAAAAAACAATCGGCCCGTCAGACCCCACTCTCCAGGATCCCTGGTTGTACATGATAAGGAGTAGGGTCGCCTGTCCAATCTCGTGGGTTTTCTCCGGGTCCTCCAGTTTCCTCCCACTGCTAAAGACCTCTACGCGCAAGCGAATTATTGAAATATAATTAAACCACATGTTAGTCCCGAAATGACCTAGTTTGTGTCGAGTGGACATTAAACCCCATTTCTCTCTCTCTCTCCACTCTCCAGGTACTTGGTGGTCAAGTAGTCTATCATGTGCACTTAAGATGGGTTTTCTCTGGATACTGTAACAACAAAATGCCCGCAAACAAATTATTGAAATAAAATTGTACCATATGTCAATCTGAAAGGACCCTAGTATATGTGAGTGGATGTTAAACTTGTTTCTCTCCTGATCTACCTAACTACCTACGTAAGTCAAAGTAGCTTAAATAACTAATCAGGTGTTTTGGTCAAGTCTGACAACCTTCAAAGCAAATCAAATAATCAACAGTGATTAATTATGATCAAGTATATAAAGTAATCAATGTCTGAGGGCGATGATGGTATGATATGATCCTATGGTTATTTGAACATGCAGCATATCTAACCATAAAGAAATGAAAAGTTTATAAAATAACATTGATATATGACAGGTGACATAAACATAAAAGTTTAAACGATTCTAAAATGTCGATAGAGTAACATTTTGAAACATGTTCCCTTCAGGTTGATAAGGTCATCTGGTGAAACCTAAAAACATATGTATAACCAAGAATTACATGTATAGACTGAAATTAATTTGGATTTTGACAATAAATAAAATAAGAAAGAAATCCTTAAATTTTCTAATAACTGATTATATATTTCATTTCTTGACTGTTGGGAAATATATTTTTAATACATATTAAGTCGTTCATGTAATGATTTGCAACTTTCAGTGTCATAAATGCAAGTATACCGTTCGAATATTGTGGTGGCTACTGCCACCTACCTTCCTACGATTGCTTTCTTTGATACATCTTGGACTGTCACATTCTAAATATTTGAAATGGCCTCAGATGCAAGGAAATCAACTTCAAACTTTCGAAATTTTTAGAGGAAAGAACACCCCTATACAAGCCCCTCAAGACCCAATGACCAGTCAAACCGGTATGGGGATTCTACCCACCCCCACCCCCTTCCAACATCCAGTAATTTTTCTGCATATTCCCCTGAAAAAGTATGATCACAGGATGTTGTATTAATATCAGTACATATTTTTGTTGATCCATTGATTTGATAGTATTTTTATTATTTACAATGTCTTTGTATTACTTTGGTTTTGTCATGTCTGCCAGTTTATATTTAAGTTTCTATTTGGCTGTATGGTGAGCTTACCCTGCACTTACTATCAGATGTAATTTCATGGAGTGTGATGGTCATAATATCATATTTAAAAACATTTTGTCAAATTATAATACTTGCAACAATTACATATTAAGTGAACCTACATGTATGATCAAAAGTTGGGTGTGTGTAGGTAGAACTGATATTATTTGCATGCACAATCTTAAATTGAATGTAATTTAACAACACGTAATTATGGTTTCAATGCATTGTGTGATTCTTGCCAAACTAGACAAAATAAGAGGCTGCATATAGACAATCTGCAATTTCCTTCACTACCACTTTAAACAATTAAAATAACTTTCTTAGTTTGCTAATTAACATTACCATATTATTATAATTACAGACAAATCTTAGGGTACATGTAGCTGCACTATAAATGTACTTCAATTTTCGCAAGATATTGTATATAATATGTAGGTGTTAATTACATGTATCTAACAACTGTTAAACCTACTCCAGACCGCTTCATTAGCTTGTTTGGTGCAGAAAAGAAGGACATTATTCCCCGTTTCATTTTACTTTGACACCTACTGTTTATTTTGAATGTTTTTGTGTTTTTCAGCTCTTATCAAATATTTTTCTGTTTATTGGTGTCAATTTTGCTGGAGTATTTACACATTATCCGACCATCATGGCACAACGGCAAGCATTTTTGGAGACGCGCAGATGTATTGAGGCCAGATTAACTACCCAGAGAGAAAATCAGGAACAGGTAGAAAGATTGAATCCAATATAAAATGCTTGAGAAATACTTAATATCTTCATTCACTAAAGGGTGTGGGACTGAATGGTCTAACGTGTGTTCTTTAGATCTCAAGGTCTGTAATTGGGGGGGGGGGGATGGTCGAATGGTTAGCACGTGCGCACTGTATCATAAGGCCTGTCATTGAGTCAACTGGAGTGGTTTCGAATCCCCGGTTGTATGTGACAAGGAGTAGGGTCGCCTGTCCAACCTCATGGGTTTTCTCCGGGTCCTCCGGTTTCCTCCTTATGCTAAAGACCCCTACGCGCAAGCGAATTATTGAAATAAAATTAAACCATATGTTAGTCCCAAAATGACCTAGTGTGTGTCGAGTGGACGTTAAACCCCATTTCTCTCTCTCTCTCTCTGTAATTGAGTTTTAGTGACCACACAATTCTATATCATTTAATCCCATATCATTTCGCTTTATAACATATATACTTAAATCATTTTATAAAGAGGGGGTGTACACACATCACCATTTGTCTCGTTCGCGTCTGTTTAATAATAATAATCCAGGATAATGGATTACTCATGTAGTTATTTAGTTTTCCGTTATACATAATAAATTGTAATTATAGTGGAGTCACAGATGTTTCATTGTCATTATAGCTGACAATCTATTCGTCTTTAGCTAAAATTAATAGAAGTATTAAACATAAAGCTCGAAAACAAATTCATTATTTATAGTGTTCTGTAACTCTGCTATAATGTACATTGTTCGAAAACTAATATTTCATGTAATTCGATCATTTTATGTTGAAAAATTCCTGAGTTATAAGGTTACGGAATGAATCAATCTTTAAATTTCTTTCTTCATACATTCTGAACAGAATTGTTTCTTTGCCACACAATGGCCTTGATTATTATAAGTCCTGTTTATTAGCAATGTGAGTTGATATTAAATCATAATAACACCAATTAAGAAGGCACCTGTCACAGACAATGTCAGGCACAGATTAGGACTTTGTCAGGAACTATTTCATTAGTGCCTGACATTTTGTAAGGTACACCTAAAACCGTTATATTTCCAGGCCTGCAATTAAACTTGTATCTCATATATCAGAATGATCATATTGACTTATTGATATCCATTAATAATTAGAAATACTCTATCTTCTATGATTCATATTCTAACTCCAAGCTAGGCATCGAATCTAGTTGTTGATTAATTAAGACAAACAGGCTTTAGGACAATTTTTAACATCTTTTTAAAAAAGAAATTCCAGCGTTGAGATGTGGGCTACTGTTCGATGTACTCAGTCGTATATCATGATTTCTGGTAGGAGTTATCGGTTGGGGGGTGCACAAATGTATATAATCTTGTCAACATTTCAATGATATTTTACAGTTTAAAGATTGAGCTTCTTTATTCCCAAAGATTCCCAATGCAACAAACTGCCTGGATGACGTACATGTAGCTACTGTGGCTGTATGTATCATTACCTGGCAACATATCTTCATGCATCTAAGTGAAATAGAAACATGTGATTAAAGTCATTTCAGATTTATTTGTTTTATTTCTTGATTCAAAATACAATCTATTTTTTATTCTAGGAACGGTTATTACTGTCTGTTCTACCTCGACATGTTGCTATGGAAATGAAAGCTGATATTGCCGGTAAACCAAAAGACAGCATGTTTCACAAGATTTATATTCAAAGACATGAAAACGTCAGGTAATGATATTACGCAATAAATCACAGATTTTATCCTTATTTAAAGATATCTTGTTGAATAACCCATTATCTTTTTATGATCTTACATCAATTTGTATCTTACACTTTATTAGGTATAGATAATGGCGGGCTATAGATAATGGCATTTATTTTTAAGTGTGCCAATTGAGTTAGACTGATGCTATTTGTTCTCAAAATCAGAATATAATCAGGAGCCATTCATTCATATGCCGCTCCAATTGAAGTCATTAGGCAATATTAAAATTTCACTCATGCTTCAGCCTGTTTCCTACTGATTATACATTGTTAGAATGTCAGTTGGTTATTATGGTAGTGATAGATATATCCAAGCTAGTATCATGTGGAGGAGGTTTGGAGTTGCTGTGGGGGAAGAGCTAAACAATAGATCTGTCCCTCTGATATGTACCCATCCTGTATTTGAGTACTGCCGTCTGGTCACGCCTTGTAACGTCAACAATCAAGTTACACCATGAATTATTGAGTATAGTAACATCTAATACCTATTAAAGTGGAAAAAACTTGTCATTTTGAACTCAAAATTGACTCCCTAAGAATTGTTGCCATTAGGAGTAGGTTCAAAACAAAAAAAAAGTTTCGAAAATCGGAATCAAAATGGCGGCTGAATATCGATTTGAAGGTTTTTTGTAAAATCCAATATGGCGGTCAAACGGTTGAAAATGTTATGGAACAAGGTCTCTGAAAATGAAAGATAATATCTGGAGCCAACACTACCCATTTTTGGTCTATTTTTAAAATGGAGGGAACTATTCATGTTCGGGAAAAATCAGAAGGCCGATCGGTAATTTCCGAAAGTGTTCGATCGACCAGAAGCTGTCACAAAATATTTTAATATGCCATTTTGAAGGCATCAATGTGTTCATTATTCCTACCAAGTTTCAACTTGATATCTCAAATATTAAAGGAGATACACTCTCTTGAATGTTAAAGAAATGTTGAAGAAAACTTTCACAAATCTTTGATGCTAAAACTAATCGATCGAACTTACAAATTTCGAAAAAATCGTCAGAAAAAAACCCCTTATGGGATTCGTCCAAAGAATCCAAAAATGAAAACTCGATGAAGATCCATTGACAAATAACCGAGATATGAAGAATCTGAAATTATTTTTTGTTCCATCCATAAAATGACCCAATTAATTATATTTAATATTTAGTTCCACGCAGACCAGCACTATCTACTTGGCAGGATGCTTGCACCATGCACAATCTTGGCTGCAACTTCTGACTAAAATCAGCAAAAAAAAATAAAATAAATAATAATAAAACTCTTATGAAAACAATATGTGTTTCGTATCAAACACATATTTATATTCTGTAACAATCTATCACCAAGAATTCAGAAGGAAAGATAAGCACAGCACCATTATCTAATAATCTATCCTAATAATGCCGGCTTGCCCTAACCTATCTTCGTTCTCACTTAATGATCCTTACTAATTACTGACAAACATTCATTTCTCTGGTCTTATTTACCTTACGAAGTGTTTCCTAGTAACTAACTGTTTAAGCCTTAATACATCAATATCTCATAGATTATATGTACAAAAGATTCTAATTTATAAAACTATGATTCTAATATAATTACAGAGTTGACATTAATTAGGATTCAGGTTAATATGTAGTATCGGGTCATGGGAACTTTGATCAATTATTATTCGATTCTTAATTTTAGATAATGTAGAATAAATATTTCCAGGTCATTACTCTCTACATGTATATGAATTGATATCATATGACTGTGTAGCAATTTCCGTTATACAGTGCTGTTACCTTTGTACTTTTCTGGATATTGTGTCAAGTTCGGAATAACAACTTGATCATCTCACATGGTCATTTAACACATTAAGTCATTTGAAGTTATCTATCTCATTGGCTGAAAAAATTGGATATTATCGGTAGTCTAGTTTAACCAAATACATCAACTGATAGGGAAGCATGTGATCAGAATTACTGACATTTACCCGAAATGATGTGAACATTTAAGCGCGGTCACAGATGTTTGACTGACTTTGATTCATTTTTATACGCCCACATTTTCATGTGGACGTATTATGCCGTCGCCCCTGTCCGTCCGTCCACAATTGTTTGTGGACTCTCTACAGGTCACAATTCTTATCCGATTTCGACGAAACTTGAAATATAGGTTTATCCCCAAAAGATCTCAGCTGCTTGCGGTATTGGCATGTATTGGATCGAAACTTCATGGATTATAGCCCCTGTTTGTACGAAAATTCACGTTTTTAGCTTGTGGACCCTATAGAGGTCACAATTTTTATCCAATTTTGTTGAAACTTGAAATGTAAGTTTATAACCCAAAGATCTCAGTTCCTTTCGATATTTGCGCATATCGGACAGTAACTTCCTGAATTATGGCCCCTGATTGTACGAAAAATCACGTTTTTAGCTTGTGGACCCTATAGAAGTCATAATTTTTATCCGATTTAAAAAAACATTCTATTATATCACCGTTACACCCTAAGGATGACTGAGTTCGAATTTCGTGAAAATCGGCCCAAAATTGACAGACAAAATGGCCACCGTTCGTTCCCAAATAGCGTAAGAATATGGTATATCGAGGTTGTGGACCCTATAGGGGTCACAATTTTTATCCGATTTTGTTGAAACTTGAAATGTAAGTTTATAACCCAGAGATCTCGGTTCCTTTCGATATTCGTGCATATCGGACTGTAACTTCCTGAATTATGGCCCCTGATTGTACGAAAAATCACGTTTTTAGCTTGTGGACCCTATAGAAGTCATAATTTTTATCCGATTTAAAAAAACGTTCTATTATATCACCGATACACCCTAAGAATGACAGACAAAATGGCCGCCATTCATTCCCAAATAGCGTAAGAATATGGTATATCAAGGTTGTGGACCCTATAGGGGTCACAATTTTTATCCGATTTTGTTGAAACTTGAAATGTAAGTTTATAACCCAAAGATCTCGGTTCCTTTCGATATTCATGCATATCGGACCGTAACTTCCTGAATTATGACCCCTGATTGTACGAAGTCATAATTTTTATCCGATTTAAAAAAACGTATTATTATATCACCGTTACACCCTAAGGACGACTGAGTTTGAATTTCATGAAAATCGGCCCAAAATTGACAGACAAAATGGCCGCCGTTCATTCTCAAATAGCGTAAAAAATATGGTATATCAAGGTTGTGGGCCCTATAGAGGTCACAATTTTTATCTGATTTTGTTGAAACTTGAAATATAAGTTTATAACCCAAAGATTTCGGTTCCTTCCAATATTTGCCCATATCGGACCGTAACTTTCTGAATAATGGCCCCTGATTGTACGAAAAATCATGTTTTTAGCTTGTGGACCCATTAGAGGTCATAATTTTTATCCGATTTAAAAAAACGTTTTATTATATTACCGTTCCACCCTAAGGACAGTTGAGTTTGAATTTTGTGAAAATCGCCCCAAAATTGACAGACAAAATGGCCGCCGTTCGTTCTCAAATAGCGTAAAAATATGGTATATCAAGGTTGTTGACCCTATAGAGGTCACAATTTTTATCCGATTTTGTTGAAACTTGAAATGTATGTTTATAACACAAAGATCTCAGTTCCTTTCGATATATGGGCATATCGAATTGTAATTTCCTGAATTATGGCCCTTGATTGTAGGAAAAATCACTTTCTTGTTAGCTTGTTCTCTATCCATCTCTCGAAAATGTGGGCGTATCCTGCCTGGCAGCCGCTGGGTTAATTGTTACTGGGAGAAGATACATTATTTCGCTTGAACAGTCAAATAGTGGGTGTAGGTTTTGACAAGAATTTCAATAAAAAGTCATTTGATTTGTTATGATTGCTTAGCAACAATAATAATGTTACAAAGATAAAAGAAATAATAGTAGTTTCAGCCAGATTAATCACATGACTCATTGATTGACATTGATAATGTCATTTACAGGTTTATTTGTTTCGTACTAACACCTTCATCATTTTAAGTAATGGAAAAACTTTTCAGTTAAAGATGAAATTAAGCAATTAAAAATGATATATCTAGACAAAACAACAAAAATTAATACAGTGTGCTGGGTTTTTTGGGGGGAGAATAAAGACTTTAATGTTGGTTAAAGGGGCATTATGTGAGATTTAGATAAATAGCTGGCCTTTCTCTATATATGTTTTAAAAATAGATAATGCAAAATTAATATATTGAAATTTTCATTCAAATTACTTTATTTTGAGCGAAGTTATCAGTGGTTGTAGTTTTAACAAGATGTGTGCATTGATCTTAACCACTGTACTAGTCATTCAAGTCTTAACCTCACTTCTCCATTTTTAAATCAAATCATTAAATGGCTGAACCATTCTAATCTACTTAAAATCAGAGCCATCCGATGGCATGAAGAGTTGATGGTCTTGTCATGATAATAAATGTCTAATCAATAATTTATATAACATTTAAGGCCCAAAGAAAGACCTGCATTAGGCAGATTTGGCTCTTACATATAATGCATGTTTAACTACATGTGTGGGTAGAATACAAAAAATTAATAAACTGTTTATTGCTTTATCCATTATCATTAATTATACTAATACTGTAACTGTAAGCTAACAGCTATAGTAATAAAACAGAGAGATAATGGGGTGAAATGGGTGAGAAGGATACTGATACTAAAAACAACTTACAAGTACTGGGTTGATGCTTATTCAGATTTGTTGTATGGATCCATAGAAATTGTGCATGCACAGGTTCTTGGGGCAAATTTAGACAAATTTACTTCTCTTGAATAACTTCGAACATGGTACTTCTGATGAAGTGAAATAATGTTGATCAGGCCTGTAAACTATGTTTAGCCTTTCTCCTAAACTTTTTAATTTCACCAATTTTTGGTAAGTAAATTTCCATGATGCAAGTTATTTTTTTTTAGATTTGATAAAGTATAGTTGCCTGACCCATTAGGCAAATCTGTCTGGTGCTACATATT